TTTATACCCCGCCCTCCCCCGTAGGGCTCAGGACGGCTTACAAGGCAAGAAATCTTGCAACAATAAAAACATCCTATACATTTAAAAACATACTATACAATTTAAAACCAATCTCAATACAAATACAAATAAAGTGCTCAATAATCCTCAGTTCCAAAACCCAGAAAGATGATTGACCATATCCAAACATTTCCGGTAGGCATTCAGTGGCTTCAATATTAGGATGTTAAAAGTTCAGATGTTCTTTCCTAGGGCCTTTTCCACCCCCCTATGATGACAATATAACACTACTTCTCTGCCCTTGTGTCACCTAACAAGGAGCAACTCGGTCAGAGTTGACCATGGGGAGTGGGCTCGAGATGAGGCCTACAATGGCAGTAGCTCACCTTGGAGGACGCTGACCACATTTTAGTCACTGTTCCCACGGAGCTAGAGCTCCAGGTGGCAACTCTCTAGGACCAGGCGGGATTGTCCCATGCATGGCCCTGGGTGAGTTATGGCTCTTGTCCCCTCCAAGAATGAAGCCTTTCTCCTGGGTTGGTAAAGGAGGAGGCAGGCTAGATGCTTCTGTGGCCAACCAGAGTGCCCCCCCCCCCCCCCTTTTTTCCTTTTTTGTGCAGGGTTTGGTGGTGATTTTACATGCTGAATAATGCACTCTAGCAATTGTCTGCAAGTGGATCTTACCGATTCACATGGTAAAATCCAGTAGCAACCTGCATTGAGAGTGCATTATTCAGTGTGTGTGAAAGCACTGCTTCCGCTTTAGCCAGGAGTAGACGGAGGCAACCCCGTCTCCCCCTCTGCTGTGCCCAGAAGGGCATTCCTTCCCTCATTTCCTGCTCTGGGCAATTCTCCCTGACCAAAGGGTGGCTGTTTCTGTTTAACTGGCCGTGGACTGGGGGTGGGGGGCAGGGTACCTGGGGCTGCTGCGGGCACAAGCGACTTGGTAGCGATGGATGCCAGAAGGTCCCGGTGGTGGGGGCACGCAGCTGCGAGGTCAGCAGGTCGTCTAACTATGCCTCTTGCAGCAGCCAAAGGGTGCCTTTGGGGAGGACGCTGCATATGCCCTTTTCCGCCAAACAGGGTTGCCAACTCCTCACTGGGAAGGACCTGGAGGTTTCTGTGGCAACGCCTGAGGATGGCAGGGTTCAGGTTTGCCAGCCTCCAGGTGGGGCCTGGAGACCTCCCGCTTTTACAACTGGTCTCCAGTTGACAGAGATCAGTTCCCCTGGAGAGAATGGATGCTTTTGGAGGGTGGACTCTATGGCTTTCTAGCACGCTGAGGCCCCTCCCCTCCCCAAACCCCACCCTCTCCTGGCTCCACCCCCAAAGTCTCCAGGTATTTCCCAACCCGGACCTGGCTACCCTAGCAGGGTTGGGGGAGGGACCTCAGCCAGGGAGCCATAAAAGCAGCCATTTCCTCCAGGGGGGGATGGGGAGCAATTGACATAGTTCAGGAAAGCCTCCAGGCACCACGTGGACGTTGCCCACCCTGCTGGGAGATGGGAGCGCGCCGGACATCCCCTCCCCCAATTCTTTTGACCACGAGGCCTCCCTTGGCCAAAGGGCTCCGCGTTGACGGGCCACGACCACTGTTCCCTCTAAGCCAAGTCGGTGTGAGCCAGCTCACAGTTTTTTAGCCTCCGGCTCACACATTTTTCGTCTTCTCTCAGGATGGATGGCTCCAGAGCAATCTAATTTAGGCCGCTGCCCAGTCGCCTGATCGCAACGTTTTCATGCCAGGAGCTCACCAAGTAGGATTTCCGCTCACAGGACTCCACAGCTGAGAGGGAGCACTGACGTGGAGGGGTGTTTCCTCTAAGCCGAGTTAGTGTGAGCCAGCTCACAGGTTTTTAGCCTCTGGCTCACACATTTTTGCCTCCACTCAAGATGGATTGCTCCAGAGCAATCTAATTTAGGCCGCTGCCCAGTTGCCTGCTCACAACGTTTTAATGCCAGGAGCTCACCAAGGAGGATTTCCGCTCACAGGACTCCACGGCTGAGAGGGAGCATTGAGGTGGAGGGGTGTTCCCTCTCAGCCGAGTTAGTGTGAGTGAGCTTAACAATTTTTAGCCCCCGGCTCACACATTTCTGTCTTAGCCCAGGAAGGAGGGCTCTATACACAAAAGTTATTCTCTAACACTGCAGATGGTCTTATGCAGAAGATCTTCATACGACGCATTTTGAGTCAGTAATACCAAATCAGTGTTCCCTCTAAGCTGAGTTAGCGTGAGCCAGCTCACAGGTTTTTAGCCTCCGGCTCACACATTTTTGTCTCAACTCAGGAAGGACGGGGCTCCAGAGTAAACTAATTGAGGCAGCAGCCAAATCGCTGGCTCACAGCTTTTAATGCCAGGAGCTCACCAAGTAGATTTTCTGCTCACAGGACTCCACGGCTGAGAGGGAGCCTTGAGGTGGAGGGGTGTTCCCTCTCAGCCTGAGTCAGTGTGAGCCAGCTGTCACAGTTCCGTAGCCTCCGGCTCACAGATCCCCGTCTCATCTCGGGAAGGGGACGGCTCCAGGGCAGACTGATTGAGGCAGCAGCCCCCGTCGGCCGCTCGCAACGTTTTCATGCCAGGGACTCCCCACAAAGCGGGATTTCTGCTCCCGGGACCCCGCAGCTTGGGGAAAGCGCCGTGGCCACGACCCTCTGCGGGCCATCGACATGGGGAACATAAGAACATAAGAGAAGCCAATGTTGGATCAGGCCAAAGGCCCATCCAGTCCAACACTCTGTGTCACACAGTGGCCAGAAATACCAGTGCCATCAGGAGGTCCACCAGTGGGGCCAGGACATCAGAAGCCCTCTCACTGTTGACCCCCCCCCCAAGCACCAAGAAGACAGAGCATCACTTGCCCCAGAGCCCCTATCTATACCTTGTGGCTAATAGCCACCGATGGACCTCTGCTCCAGATGCTTATCCATCAGAACATAAGAGGCGCCAATGTTGGATCAGGCCAAAGGCCCTTCCAGTCCAACACTCTGGGTCACACAGGGGCCAGAAATATCACTGAGAGGGAGCCCCAACGAGGCCCGCCTGCCACGCGTTGGCCAACCCCCACCCCCTTCCTCCTCCTCTCT